GACCTATCCACGTCATCATTTACCCAGAATGCTTTGTGTGTAAATAAAATGGCCTGTCCGTGTAATATATTTTTAAACTTTAAGTTAAAAAATTTACAAAACTAAACAGCATACAGAATTTTTACAGTCTTTATTTTACAATTAAAATATATATTTATCAAATAAAGTCTAATGTTACAGCTAATCAGGGATCCCTTTAAGGTGTATGCATTTCTACAATGCAGRTTACTTCCATTTGCAACACTTAAACAGTATTTTTAAATGCCCTGACATGGTTCAAACACACACTGTTGTTGTGAATTATGCACTTATGTTTCTGCTGCAGGTGTGACCTGTGTGGGCGCTCCTACCGCCACGCTGGTTCCCTCCTCAACCACAAGAAGTCCCACTCTGAGCACCTTCACCACTGCACCTTGTGTCTGCAGACGTTTCCCGACGCTCTCGCTCTGCAGGCGCACTCCCAGATGAGGCGGCAGTGTTGTCCCGAGTGCGGCAAGACCTTCTGTCTGGTGTCGCACCTGCAGAGCCACATGCAGACGCACTCGAAGGAACAGGTCGTAGTCTGCGGTCTCTGCCGGCAGAGCTTTCCCGACGCAGCCGCCTACCGGGAGCACCGTGACGCACACCACGCGATCCAGGACCCCCGTCATCAGGACGTGCGCCAGCCTGTGGAGACGAACTCCTGCTGGGATTTGGGAATAAATCAGTCCGTGGGGCCGGCGGAGGCGGTTGACCAGGTTCCGCCTCCTTTGGCTCACGTTCCAGAAGGCGTCGCGGATTCGCAGAGCAACGACGCCTCCGCAGCGGAGGAGAAGGGCCACGTCTGCGAGCACTGCGGCCGCTCGTACCGCCACGCCGGTTCCCTCCTAAACCACAAGAACAGCCACAAGACGGGCTCCTTCTTCTGCGCAGTCTGCCAGAAAGAGTTCACCAACCTGATGGCCCTCAAAAACCAYCGCCGCATCCACACGGAGCCGAAGCGCTACCAGTGCCTGGAGTGCGGCAAGGCGTTCCGCGTGTCCACTCAGCTCATCTGTCACCGGAGGATACACACTAAGGAGAAGCCCTTCGCCTGCCTGCTGTGCGACAAGAGCTTCTCCAGCAAGTCCAACCTGCGGCACCATCAGAAGATGCACCCGGACACCACCCCGACCTACGACTCCTCGTTCAGCATCGACACGAACGCCTTCATGGACCTGGATATGGAGTCGTTTTTATAAAGCAGTGCTCTCAAACACACAGGACGAGGGGTTGTTTCTGAGTTTTTCCTTTCTGCCAGCAGTTGTAAAGCAGTATTTCTTGTTTTCAGGAAGTGTTCCTTGTTTAAAGAAACCCACATTTCATCACCTAACTTCCAGTCTTACCTCAGAAGAAATCATCTCTGTTAATTAAGACTTGAATGTTCACGAATACGCAGGGTCTTTAAAACAGAGCAGACTCTGCTCATTCCTCTGTTAAAAAAACACATAAAAAAACAACTAACCAACCAAAGTGAACAGAAACCTGCAGTCTAAGTTTATTTAAAATAACGTTTTGTAAAGCAGAACTTTTCAAACTCTTGCCATGTATAATAGATCTGTTCAGTGCCTCCGCAAGTTTTAGGAATCTAATATACAAACTATATTTATCTGTGAATAGTTTGGTTTCTTTTGCAGTCAGTTGCATTGGGAATTCACAGAAAGTAGCGTTATTTTTCAGTTAAATACCTCCTGGGTGTGTGTTCCTCAAGTAAATATTCATCTAATAATGTTTCAAGTTCACACTGACACTGTAGGCTAAAGTGGATGTATTTATTTATTTGTTATTTATGTGCATATTTAATTCGAAGAATGTTCCATGAATGCTGCATTAACTCGTAGCTTTTACGGACCTCCCCATCAGTCGGCTTACGTCTCATTTGTTTAATAAAATGAGCCAAGGATGACATGATATGGGATCAGGGTAAACCTTCAAAAAGGAGCTAACCCGKTGTGTTAACCATTGTTCACCATCAGTAAAGGTTTGCCTCACTTGTGCCATTTTAACACTTTTGTGTTTCATTTTTTTTTCTGCTTTGCCACCAGAGTCACTCCAGCTCCTTTAACACTGCATGCTGTAATCTTTCTTAACCCTTTGAGAAGCAAGAGTTTAGTAGAAGTGCCTGTGCCTAAAATGTAAGTCGACTGTAGCAGTTTGATGTGAACAAACCTCTCACTTAACTTTAGTTTGTATAGCTTCTTAGTGACGAACTTAACTTCAAGTAGTTGATAATTGTAGATTGTTATGCTCTATATAAAACAAGCCTCAGTTAAAGCTAAGCACAAGTATTAATGTAAACCAAACAGGTTTTATCTTCACTGTACAAGTTTATGAATCGCCTGTTATGTCATTAACATGCATTTGTGTTTTTTTTTTTCCACACACACACAGTCGTCAGACTTTGTTCATTGAGTTTCTTTTCACAGGACGAACAAAAGTGAACAGACGGCCTTTGTTCTCATTAATTGAAATCTTTGTTTTATGCCTTAAATGTTGCATTCTGTGTATAAATTTGTTTATCCTTTGCCAGAAATACCTCAAAAGTACTGCCTACATAACAAATGCTACTTAATGCAGATGAGTTGTTGAGAGAAACACTAAAACGCCACGTGGTTACAGAAGTGTTAGAACCTTCGCGTTTTACTTCTAGATTATCATTTCCTCCGTGACGAAGTGCCATGTCTTTGGTTTGTTTTTTAGATTTTTATTTGCACGTTTTACATCCTTTATGTTGCAGACCAGTTTCTCGGTCGAGCAGCGGTTTGCTGAATATTTCACCCCAAATGGTGAAAAAGGTTGAGCAATATGTTCAAACGTGTCGTTTCAGTGCATAAAGCGAAGATTTTATGCTCATGTTTTGATTTACTGTTCTTTGAAATAGCACCAGATTAAGGCTCATGTTTGCATTTCCCTCTACCAACATTGTTACGTTATTTAAAAACCTAATAAATTAGATAAGTAACATTTTATATGTCATGGTTATTTTTTTTAAAAAAGGGCGAGGCGGGGTACATCTACATGAGAGTAAACAAAACTATTTGATTGCAACTAAACTTTACTGTAGTTGATGTTCATCAGTCTGGTTATATTGGAAAGTGTTTTTAAAACTCCATAAAAATGAAATTAGGATCAAGGTTAGTTATTTCATTAAAAACGTGTTTGAATATGTTGCAGCTCATCTTTTCAAAGATTGTGTGACTCAAAATTGTTTTTACTTTTTGTTAGAACATAGTTAACGAGCAAACTTTTCAAATTAAAAGCCTATGCATATTACCTTCCTCCACTACTGCCTGAGTTTTAAACTTAAGATCATTTTATGTTAAACAACAGTTACAGCTCAGCCGTTTTGAACGTTTATAACTTAATGTGATATTGTGTGTGTTTAGGGAATGACTCTCAGCTACTACCACAACAAATGTTACTTCAAAATCTATAACTCASGCATCTGTAGCCATTTTTGTCTCGTTAACTGTGGCGGCCATCTTGAATCAGGTTTCTCAGTTGAAGACATGCAGACAGCGAGTTTCATTAAAATCTTGCATTAGATATTTTGCTAATAGACAAATGAACACACAGCAAAGACAATTACCAGCAGATATATTGTTGCAACTCGATACACTTTTACCAATAAGCATTAAAGGAATAGTTCAAWTTTTTTCAAGTAATGAGCAAATATTTTACTACATTACTCAAAAAGACTGCACAAGGACTGCTACAGCTATCTGCTGCTGCTGGGATTTCTATGTAAATGATAGTGTAACTGTCATTGTAGTCAATTTTTTTTAATCTTATAATTTGAATCTTGGAAATTTCAAAACAATTTGTGCAACCACTGTTTTATATGTTTTTACATATACTTGGCAGAATTCTGGCTTGTAGCTGTCTTTGTCCTCGCAAATAACGAAACTATATAAACACCCACAAAATGCAAAATTCAGAGCAATGGTTTATTAAATTTAGTTGTATGAATCAGTGGCTTTTTAAGATTAAAGATGTTTCTGTTCAAACTAGCCTTTAACTTGTCCATCTAATAAGAATTACACATTTTCAACAGATATTTGTTAAAAATGCCACTTTAAAACATCTGAGTTATCACTTTGAATGTTTTTAATCATTTAAATGCTCACAAAGAAGGGATTTGATTTTTTTTTCAGAATAAGAACTTGCAATATTAAAATTGTCAGTTTTATTGTGAAAATATATTTGCTACACAAAGCAGTTTATAGGTCTGAAGTTAATAAAGAAAGCCAGTGCATGTATGTTAAAGGAATAACAACTAGAACAAAACTAGCAAAAAGGTAGAAAGAAAGGCAGAGGTTAGTTATTGCTCAGTAACATGGCTGGTCGCATGGAAGTTTCACAAAAATCTTCACTGGAGTCCCTTTGAAATGTCCTCGTCCACTCACAGTTGATGCATTGCAACACTGCAAGATGCCTCAAAATAAATAATATAAACATCTAAAAAAACAATAAAGTATCTGTGAAAATCTGAAATGTTTTCCTTATGTTGTTGCCATGAGGCAAGCTGTTAAACCACAAAATAAAAAAGACCTGAAACATCGCAGGTCTCTAAATATTGCAAGAGTTCTGGAGAAACATTTGAAAATTCAAAGAAAAAAATATATATATATATACACAGAAAATGAAGAACAATCCAGCCCAACATGGGTTTTGCAGCAAGTTTCCCAATCATAAACATTTGTTTCAACTTGTTGCAGAACTGTAAAGACTTAATAAAAAAGGTCAAAGTTCACCAAACGCTGCGAATGTGACGCTCCAACCGAAGCACTGTAGGTCGTTTTCCTGCCTGCATTGCATTCCTCACAGCATTCCCACATGTTAGCAGTTTGTATGTCTAGTGTTTCAAACACGCTGTCCTACAAGCACCGAGACGAGAAGGATGCTGCTGTAATGGACGTAGCACCGTCTCTTAGAAAACTTAGTAACAATTCCTTTAAAAAAAAAAACTAAAAAAATGGAATGACCTGAAATCTGTTGGTCTCAGGAGCCAGAAACACAGTGCACAAGTTCAGCTTCATCACGGTATCAGCTGCTTAAAAAGGACAGGTACATGGACGTTCTGGCGGGGACAGAGAACACATTTCACCTAAAACTTGCTACATTCAAACGGCCTTAATGTGCCACACAAGTCTTCCTCACGTGCACGTTTAGGTGCAGCTTTTTYTGAWAAAA